TTTGCTTCCTTTGGGGCCTTTCGCCTTGCCTGGGGTCTGTGAGATTGTTGTGGCCTTTCCTTTTCACTGCTAAGGTGGAGAGAGATACAGAGAGACATCACATGCTCTGTCCTTCAGGTGGCACAGCAGGTGAACCCAGTGAGGGGCATGCACCTTAAGAACCTATTTCCTTGAATCTGTGACCCATGTTTTTTCACATTTTAGCCTTCAGGATGATAGGATGCATTTTACAACCTACGAATACATTAGTGTTTCTTTTATCCCCCTAAAAGCTCTCTTATTAAAACAGTGGGGGCATCCTAGAGTCAGTTCGTACATCGATGGGAAGAGCGAGGGCCAGCCCTCACCTAGTATAAACTGGACCTGCACCTCACCGTCTGTGTGCTGCCCAGACAGCTGTTCTGGATGTCCTGCACTCTGCAGACCTGTGGCCCTGACTGAACTGTCCTCCAGTCAAGTGTAGTGTCCACGTGCACCACGCTGGGAACTGAGGGGCCTCGGAAAGACCCACTTTCCTTTAGGATCTGTTTCCTCATTTATAAATCACGTTCCCCTGCCTTCTAAAATGTCTGTGGACCTATCCTGCTCCTGCTCCCTAAGCCAGCAGAGTGTTTGTGAAAACTCAAAGAACTGCACACTAAAAAGGGGGACTTTTACTATAGGTAAATTATGCCCTTAATACACTTGACTTTTTAAAAAATCCAGTCAAACCACACATGTTCAAGTTTGTGATTGCTATTGCAGCATTGTTTGCAAAATATTGGAAACAACCTAATTTTCCATCAAACAGGGACCAGTTTAATAAATTGTGATACTTGCATATGATGCTATATTTTAGAGTAGCTGTTTAAAAGAATTACTATAGATGGATCTGTACATCTGATAGAAAAGCAATGTTCCAAACAGTGGGCACCGTTTGCTCTCTTTTGTGTAAATGTTTGTGTGTGTATATGTGAGTGTGTTTGCGTGTGTGAATTGTTGCAAGGATGCATAAGAAACTGCTGGCAGTGGTTTCCTGTGACATAAGGGACTGGCTGCTAAGGGACAGGGTAGGAGGAAGACTTATTTGTCACTGTATACCTTTTTTGCATTTTGAATTTTGCCCACTGCGCATAAATTATCTATTCAAGAAATAGAAAAGAAGTAAAATAAAATGAATTGCTTTGACCAAGAAAAAAAAAAAGCCTGCAGGACCCTGGAACTGAGTGACATTGGCCTGCAGCCTGACTGTGTGTTTCTCTTCCTCAGGTCCGTCGTGTGAGCCAACTCACTCGCCCACCAGCAGCGGGAAGATGCTCTTTGCTCCTGTGCCATTTCCTTCAGGCTCCACCGAGGATGTGTCCTCCAGCAGCCCCCTGCAGCCCCCTCCACTCCCCCAGAAAAAGTTAGTGAGCCGGGCAGCCTCTTCGCCGGATGGCTTCTTCTGGACCCAAGGCTCCCCCAAACCACAAACGACAAGCCCCAAGCTGAACCTAAGCCACTCGGAAACCAACGTCCATGACGAGTCTCACTTTAGCTGTTCCTTGAGTCCTGGGAACCGCCACCATCCTGTCTTCTCTTCTGAGCCCCTGGAGAAAGCTTTCAAAGGCAATGGCCACTGGGTTCCGGCACCGGGGCTGGCAGGCAGCAAGAGTGTCTGCGGGAGCCCCAGCCTGCAGTGCAAAGGGGCCACTTCTGCCTCGTCCTCCCAGCTGAGTGTGTCCAGCCAGGCCTCCACCAGCAGCACCCAGCTTCAGCTCCACAGCCTCCTGAGCAGCATCAGCAGCAAGGAGGGCACCTATGCCAAGCTGGGGGGTCTCTACACCCAGTCCCTGGCCCGCCTTGTAGCCAAGTGTGAGGACCTCTTCATGGGCGGTCAGAAAAAGGAGCTCCACTTCAATGAGAACAACTGGTCACTCTTCAAACTGACTTGCAACAAGCCCTGTTGTGACTCGGGGGATGCTATTTATTACTGTGCCACCTGCTCTGAGGACCCCGGCAGCACCTATGCTGTGAAAGTAGGTTTCAGCCCCCTCTTTCCATTCTGCAGTGCAAGCTGGTTCTGGCTTGAGCAGAATTGTGGCTCGAGCAGGTCATTTCACCTCTCCAGGCTTCAGTAGGAGGGTAGACTCCTAGGCTTCTCTTTAACACTGAGTGCTCAATGATTTCACTCTCTGCCTGGCCCAGGACGTGGTGCAGTGAGATTTGTAGTATGAATATAAGACGCATTCTGTGCTTTCAGGAAGGAACCTATGTGAGCTAGTTGGATTAAGAAAACAGTTGCCTTTTAGTGCAACAGAGTCCATTCATTCATTCAGCAAGTTTATACTGAGAGCCTGTTGTATGCCAGGTATTTTGCAAAGGTCTGAATATATATATATAGGGGTAAACAGAAGGTTCCTTATGGAGCTTATAATCTTAATGGACAATTAAGATATTATTATTCAAATGTTAGAGTCAGAAGGAGTATTGGACCTAGGCATCATCTTAAAAAATAAGAGCAATAATAACATTTATTGAGCATTCACTGTACAGCCAGACTCTCGGTTGGTGTATTAATTACCTCTAATCCTAACAGTAATTCTACAGGATAGGTAGGTTTTACAGATGGGGAATCTGAGGCTCAAAGTAATTAAGTAATCTACCCACTGCTAGTTGGTGGTTGAAATGGATTTGACCCTTGTTTTGTCTGTCTCCAGAGCTTGTGCTATGATTCTATCAGATGGGAAAATGAAGTTCAGAGAAGTGAAGTGACTAGCCCAAGGTAACACAGCTCTTTCCCTTCGTGCTGGATCAGGGCTGTTGCTACCACACCCCATTGCTCTCTCAGGGCGCATCTCTGAGCCAGCTAGCTGAGCCATTTGCACCCATTTGGGCCACTGCGTTCTCTACCACGGATTCTGGTCCTTCCTTGTGGCCCTTTTTTCATCTTCTTTTGGTGTTGTTTAATACCTTGTGAGTCCATGGCCCTTTTAGAAATGCAGGCTTTTGTGGGACATGAGGAGGGGTCCCTGAGCTCTCTTCTGCCATCACCTGTCGCGAGACCTTTTTTTTATCCAGTTACAAAAAATAACAAAGAGTTAACTGGAAATGGCCTTGGTGGGGTTGCTTGCTTACCAGCAAAAATTTTTTAAGTAGTATGATTATTAGCCAAAGAAATTGTAGTGAATTTTATTTTGAGATTTTTCTTTTAAGAAGTATGTGACACAGGCACGTAGAGGTACGAGGCCATCACCATACCATGTGAAAAAGGAGATTTGGAGAATAGCCTCTAATATTCAGAGTATGGTAATCTCGGAACAGTATTATCAGGAACGAACAACAATATCAATTTGCAAATGTGCCCAACCTGGTCATTGCGGCAGGGGGGAGTGTGGAACTTCATTTCATACGTGCAGTTCTTGCACGTCACTGGTGCTGCAGTCCAGACGGATACAGTCATCTGGGAACCCACAGGAGGGGTAGCAGTCTCCTGGCCACCACCTGCCTGTCTGTGGCTGAGCTTGTTCCATCTGCGCCTGTTAAGCAGGGCTCCGGGCCTGAGATCAGACTGAACCTGGGTTGCAGAGCACTGGTTAGCAATGGCAGGCTTGCACCTGCTGGCCGCCAATGCAGGCACCTCCAGTCTTGGGCTCTGCGGGCCTGCAGCAGAGGACATACAGCCGGCTCTTGTAGCCCTATGCCACGAATATGTGGCAGGGGGAGAAAATCAGCTGTGTGTGCATTTTCAAAGCTGCTTTGTTTCTGATCCATCTAGAACTCCAGTTCAGTAGTTAGGGACCTGTGTTAAGCCAATGGGCTTTTTTTATTTAACAGATGTGACTTAGCCCAGATTTTCACTCATGAATGAGGCCCTGGCTTCAAAGTTTAAAATGAGAATGAGCTCTGCCAAAAGTTTGAAATTCTAGTTGAACCAGAGGTCTATGCAAAGTTCTAGAGTCTAAATCCGAGCGCAGGACCCTCTGAAAATGAGACGAGTGGGCAAGGAGAAGCAGCTCCACCCCCACCCCCACCCCCGCCGCTGCGCCNAAAAAAAAAAAGCCTGCAGGACCCTGGAACTGAGTGACATTGGCCTGCAGCCTGACTGTGTGTTTCTCTTCCTCAGGTCCGTCGTGTGAGCCAACTCACTCGCCCACCAGCAGTGGGAAGATGCTCTTTGCTCCTGTTCCATTTCCTTCAGGCTCCACCGAGGATGTGTCCTCCAGCAGCCCCCTGCAGCCCCCTCCACTCCCCCAGAAAAAGTTAGTGAGCCGGGCAGCCTCTTCGCCGGATGGCTTCTTCTGGACCCAAGGCTCCCCCAAACCACAAACGACAAGCCCCAAGCTGAACCTAAGCCACTCGGAAACCAACGTCCATGACGAGTCTCACTAGCAGCCTCTTCACCGGATGGCTTCTTCTGGACCCAAGGCTCCCCCAAACCACGAACGACAAGCCCCAAGCTGAACCTAAGCCACTCGGAAACCAACGTCCATGACGAGTCTCACTTTAGCTGTTCCTTGAGTCCTGGGAACCGCCACCATCCTGTCTTCTCTTCTGAGCCCCTGGAGAAAGCTTTCAAAGGCAATGGCCACTGGGTTCCGGCACCGGGGCTGGCAGGCAGCAAGAGTGTCTGCGGGAGCCCCAGCCTGCAGTGCAAAGGGGCCACTTCTGCCTCGTCCTCCCAGCTGAGTGTGTCCAGCCAGGCCTCCACCAGCAGCACCCAGCTTCAGCTCCACAGCCTCCTGAGCAGCATCAGCAGCAAGGAGGGCACCTATGCCAAGCTGGGGGGTCTCTACACCCAGTCCCTGGCCCGCCTTGTAGCCAAGTGTGAGGACCTCTTCATGGGCGGTCAGAAAAAGGAGCTCCACTTCAATGAGAACAACTGGTCACTCTTCAAACTGACTTGCAACAAGCCCTGTTGTGACTCGGGGGATGCTATTTATTACTGTGCCACCTGCTCTGAGGACCCCGGCAGCACCTATGCTGTGAAAGTAGGTATCAGCCCCCTCTTTCCATTCTGCAGTGCAAGCTGGTTCTGGCTTGAGCAGAATTGTGGCTCGAGCAGGTCATTTCACCTCTCCAGGCTTCAGTAGGAGGGTAGACTCCTAGGCTTCTCTTTAACACTGAGTGCTCAATGATTTCACTCTCTGCCTGGCCCAGGACGTGGTGCAGTGAGATTTGTAGTATGAATATAAGACGCATTCTGTGCTTTCAGGAAGGAACCTATGTGAGCTAGTTGGATTAAGAAAACAGTTGCCTTTTAGTGCAACAGAGTCCATTCATTCATTCAGCAAGTTTATACTGAGAGCCTGTTGTATGCCAGGTATTTTGCAAAGGTCTGAATATATATATATAGGGGTAAACAGAAGGTTCCTTATGGAGCTTATAATCTTAATGGACAATTAAGATATTATTATTCAAATGTTAGAGTCAGAAGGAGTATTGGACCTAGGCATCATCTTAAAAAATAAGAGCAATAATAACATTTATTGAGCATTCACTGTACAGCCAGACTCTCGGTTGGTGTATTAATTACCTCTAATCCTAACAGTAATTCTACAGGATAGGTAGGTTTTACAGATGGGGAATCTGAGGCTCAAAGTAATTAAGTAATCTACCCACTGCTAGTTGGTGGTTGAAATGGATTTGACCCTTGTTTTGTCTGTCTCCAGAGCTTGTGCTATGATTCTATCAGATGGGAAAATGAAGTTCAGAGAAGTGAAGTGACTAGCCCAAGGTAACACAGCTCTTTCCCTTCGTGCTGGATCAGGGCTGTTGCTACCACACCCCATTGCTCTCTCAGGGCGCATCTCTGAGCCAGCTAGCTGAGCCATTTGCACCCATTTGGGCCACTGCGTTCTCTACCACGGATTCTGGTCCTTCCTTGTGGCCCTTTTTTCATCTTCTTTTGGTGTTGTTTAATACCTTGTGAGTCCATGGCCCTTTTAGAAATGCAGGCTTTTGTGGGACATGAGGAGGGGTCCCTGAGCTCTCTTCTGCCATCACCTGTCGCGAGACCTTTTTTTTATCCAGTTACAAAAAATAACAAAGAGTTAACTGGAAATGGCCTTGGTGGGGTTGCTTGCTTACCAGCAAAAATTTTTTAAGTAGTATGATTATTAGCCAAAGAAATTGTAGTGAATTTTATTTTGAGATTTTTCTTTTAAGAAGTATGTGACACAAGCACGTAGAGGTACGAGGCCATCACCATACCATGTGAAAAAGGAGATTTGGAGAATAGCCTCTAATATTCAGAGTATGGTAATCTCGGAACAGTATTATCAGGAACGAACAACAATATCAATTTGAGCACGTAGAGGTACGAGGCCATCACCATACCATGTGAAAAAGGAGATTTGTAGAATAGCTTCAAATATTCAGAGTATGGTAATCTCGGAACAGTATTATCAGGAACGAACAACAATATCAATTTGCAAATGTGCCCAACCTGGTCATTGCGGCAGGGGGGAGTGTGGAACTTCATTTCATACGTGCAGTTCTTGCACGTCACTGGTGCTGCAGTCCAGACGGATACAGTCATCTGGGAACCCACAGGAGGGGTAGCAGTCTCCTGGCCACCACCTGCCTGTCTGTGGCTGAGCTTGTTCCATCTGCGCCTGTTAAGCAGGGCTCCGGGCCTGAGATCAGACTGAACCTGGGTTGCAGAGCACTGGTTAGCAATGGCAGGCTTGCACCTGCTGGCCGCCAATGCAGGCACCTCCAGTCTTGGGCTCTGCGGGCCTGCAGCAGAGGACATACAGCCGGCTCTTGTAGCCCTATGCCACGAATATGTGGCAGGGGGAGAAAATCAGCTGTGTGTGCATTTTCAAAGCTGCTTTGTTTCTGATCCATCTAGAACTCCAGTTCAGTAGTTAGGGACCTGTGTTAAGCCAATGGGCTTTTTTTATTTAACAGATGTGACTTAGCCCAGATTTTCACTCATGAATGAGGCCCTGGCTTCAAAGTTTAAAATGAGAATGAGCTCTGCCAAAAGTTTGAAATTCTAGTTGAACCAGAGGTCTATGCAAAGTTCTAGAGTCTAAATCCGAGCGCAGGACCCTCTGAAAATGAGACGAGTGGGCAAGGAGAAGCAGCTCCACCCCCACCCCCACCCCCGTCGCTGCGCCCCCACCCAGCTCTGTGGAATGATCTGGGCGCGGGTCCACAGGGCTGGTTACCATGCGCCCTGTGCAGCCCTCTCCAGGGCGGGGCGGTGGGGAAGCTGCGGGTCCTGCCAGGGGCCCAGCTCACTGATTTTGAAATGCATCCAGCCCAGTTGCCGTTCACTTTGCTCCTTCATTTACATCTCTGTGCAAAATGTCAGCAGCTCCACTGGAGCTGTGGGGCTGGTGTTTGCTGGGCCCAGGCCTTTGATACCCTTGAGAAAAGAGCCTTGGAAACGCTTCCCAGGCCCCCGGCAGCTGCGCTCCCCCGGTTTGCACAGTACCTGCCAGCCTGCTCCGGATTGCCCAGCGCCACCCTATGGGGCCAGCTGAAATGACAAGAGCAGTCGCCATAGCAACCTTTCCCTTTGAGCGCTCCCTGTGGGCGAGGCTCCGTGCTGAAAGACACACCTGCATGATTTCATTTAATCCTCACAGTGGCCTCTAAGGAGGGAATGATCACTGCCCTTGTTCTACAGAGGAGGAAACAGACTTTGAGATCAATGCTGTCCACCTCATACTCGTGGATTCTGTATTTGTGGAATCATCTGCCCACTGAAATGTGTTGTTAACACCAAAGTTAATACTGGCAGTGCTTTTCCAGTCATTTGTGGACATGCGCAGGGAAGGCAAAAATTTGAGTCACCCGAAGTGCATGTTTCCAGCTTAGGTGGAACAAGGTCAAGTTCTACCATCTTGTTTGAGCTCTCAGAAGTTCCTTTTTTTTTTTTTTTTTTCCTTTTTGTCTTTTTTCGTGTCCGGCAACGGATCGCAACCCTCAGTGTCGCGCCTGTACCGGACCTGGACGGCAACGGGATCGCAACCCTCGGTGCTGCGCCCGCACCTCGCTCAGCCAGTGAGCAGGAACCGGTCTGTATGTGGGATCCGAACCCTCGGCAGGAGCGCCGCCACGCTCCCAAGCGGCGCACTGTAGCAGTGAACCACCAGGCCGGCCCCAGAAGTTCCTTTTTGCAGTCTACTTAGTGTCACATTTTTCACATTTTGTGATCTTTATTTGTATGTTTTTTGTTTATGGCCCCTAGTGTGCTACAGTGTTTTCTAGTGTTTCTAAGCATAAGAAGGCTGTGATGTGCCGTACAGAGAAAACACGTGTTAGATAAACTTCCTTCAGGCATGAGTTACAGAGCTGTTGGCCATGAGTTCAATGTTAATGAGTCAACAATATACATTAAATAAGGCTTCTCTACAGAGAAACACACATAAAACAAGGTTATGTAGTGATTGGTTGATGAAAACACCGTGACTCAGGTTTCACAGGAACCTCACCCTGTATTTCCACTAGGAGCAATGGTTCAGTATTTGCTAGTTCAGTGTTTGTTGCTGCTTAATGGAACATTAAGTACTGGGAATAACAAACATCACCTGTAACTTGCCAAAGGTTACAGAATTGATATTTAAGTTTAGGTCTTTCGCACTCTAAAGCCGATGCTTTTGACCTCTAGAACACTACTTGCCATTTGTATAATCTTGGGCAAGTAGTTTAATTTCTTTTTTTTTTTTTTTTTTTTTTTTTTTTTTTTTTTTTTTCCT